GTCTTTATCGAATCGTTGATTCGGCGAAATTTCAACGCGATTTCAAGACGTCGTAATTTGCAACGCGATTTTCACGGCGCGATGCTCGATGCGCGTTTTGGCGCGACGGAACAGAAACGAGGAGAGAGAGAGCGAGCCCGGTGTACGCGCAAAGCCTGTGTAAAGCACGAGAGCTGCTGCCTCGTGGCCTACTATAACAGAACTGACTCCCACTGTGGTATTACACCGTCTCTTTACCTACCATGAGCGAACGTACGGTGTTTAAACGCTGTGTCTTGCGACGGCGATCGGCCGTCGGTCCCTCCACTTCACGAGTTCTCCACCACCTCGGGAAGGAGGTGGCGACGTCAGCGGGAAGTCGCATCCGGCAGCAGTCAGGATGACTATTTTGTAGAATTTCTAAAAAAAATATATATACCGGAAACTAAACATATAACTAATGTGTTACTGCGTTCACTGCTCGCATACGTAGTCGCGAATTTTTAACCCCTTAAGTGGCATATTCGTTGATGTTTTCAATTCTTAGCATATACAAATTAGATATATTTTTTGTATCTTATTTTTTAAAATTTATCAAAGAAAATAACAATAAAGAGAAAAGAAATCTAGATATTTATTTTTAAAAACATCCGACTTAGGAGAAATCGCGCAGTCATTTTAAATCACCTCTGAAGAGATTAAAATTCGTACATTAAATTATACGCATTTATGTTTTTCATATAATTATACTTAAGAACTGTTACACTGAATCAAACGCTAGGCTCTAAAAAAAATACATTTTCACTAGTCTCGTTTTTTCATACATCAGTGTTATTAAAACTAATTGCAAAACCGAACCATTGGCATTTGGCGAGCCTGATAAGTAATCTGTGCAATCACGATGAGTGTAGTGAATGAGTGCGAATAGAAACGATCAAATTGGAAGGTGAAAAATTAGCGTGGTTGGTCACGCATATGTATGCAACGCTTCATTTTGATTCCTTTCGCGTAACTAGACTGATCGGGAAATCGAGTCCAGCTTGTTGCTTTCGTAGATTACCGGAGATTACGTATGTAAAATCTGTTTATGAAAGTATATTGACAACTTTAACACGTAACAAGGATGGCGTTTCCGCGATTAACCACGCGAAACTACTTTAGCAACGCTAATAATCGCCCTGCTGCGACTATAACTTACGAAAATAATTTTCTCAAACAGAAAAATAACAGGACAAGACGTTGTCCACGTAAGTAACAATTAGGGTGCTATTTGCACTTGAAATTATATTCACAACTAAGGAAAATTGATTCTGAATTTTACGTGAAACGTTGCTATTTGCGTTTGTTTTCCGACAATTCAAGATGTCTGTGTATACAATATTGTTTCTCAATTTTGACTTTGAACTAAAATTTTAAAATTCTTAACGGCTCGACGATAACGTGTCTTGCTCGATTTTCCGTGATGTCATCGCTTGATATTTGATTCCATTGCATTGACGTGCGATTAATAACATCCATTATAATAGAACACATCCTGCGCGCGAGTCGTTTCATTGCTGTCGCATGCTGAGCGCGTTCCAGCGCTTTACGGCTGGCTAGTGTGTCTCATTGTTGCTTAACAAAGCCTAGCACAGTTTTCTCGCTTCTGTCGCAATGGTGATTTCACCGTGATCGAAAGTGCTCGCAATTATGTTCTACTGACATGCCTACATATTATATCATGCTTCATCGTAGCAGTTCGATATGCTGGCAACGAATCGAGTTTTTTTTTTTTGGAATAAGCGGACTGTGCTGCATGATATAGAGCTCAATAAAGAAAAAAATGCAAATAGGGCTAGGAAAACTTTCAAGACAAAAATGTTTGGAACTGAAGAGAAAAGACTATTACGAGCGTCGGCTCGAATAATCTTTAGGTATTTAAAATTGCGATAGTTGTTTGAAGCTTTCTACAGAAAAGTGTCGAAACCTCAAATACATCAAGTTATTTTTACAATGGCGATTTAACTGCGCCACGTATTAAGAAATTAAATAATTTAGTATATAAATAATGATTTCAAACTTTTTTATCCCTAGAACCCTTCTCTTTCCAAACATAGATCATATTTATCCAGACCAACTTTTCAAACGTGACCATTCCAAAAAATGTATTTTGTTTTTTCATTATAACTTTTTCCAACTTCATTGAATCACAAGAACATCAATAGATTCATATTATTCGGTGTTTTCTATCCTAATTTTAAAATAATTGAATTTTAATAATTTCTCCGAAAAAGTTATGAGCAAATAGAAATGCCCTGAATATAGATAAATAAAATTTTATATTCAGGGTTTTATATTCAGGGTTTTTGATGTTAAGATCCTAGATTTAAATAGATATGTTATAGATAAAATTCCGGTAACTTTAATACGATATAAGGATACCTTCCAAAATTCGACGATGAAAACGTATCTTTGAACATAATGAAAAATAGAAGCTCATGCAGTTAGTCGTTCTCGATTTGTGAGCGAATGCAGAAGAAAGCAGTAAATTAAGATATTTTAATGCAGTTAATTCGATATTATCATTAATTCAATGCTATTGCGAACATTATTATTGTAGTACCTGTAATAAGAGGGATATATTAAACAGTAGTAGAGTATAAGTGTCTTGTGCACGCAAACGTAGTTAAATAACATATATGTTTATACGTAAATTGCCTATTCGTTGAAAGTTAGTAGGTCGTGGAGAGTCGAAAAGAGAAGCCAACTCATTGCAAACAAGAAGAAATTTAAAAAAATTCCTTGGTCCTACTTTAACTCGAAACTCTTCGCGTCGTGCACTTCCGCATAAATAATTAAAAGCAATTATCAAAACACAGAATATGATGCCGCGTTCTTGCCAATAATTTTGAAATAAGATAAATCATCCGCGACATTATAGTTTCCTGTAAATTAAATTACTTTCTTTTTAAGCGTTTTAATTTCACTTTCACAACCATCTTTCAACAAGTATGTGCACGCACACACATACAATATATAATTTTTTTTATTGTCAAACATACAATTAAAAACAATAAGTAATGAAAGTCGGAACGCTACTATTGGCACGCGAAATATTCTATTACAGTATAACAATTAATTATAATGTATAAGTAACCAAACGTATTTCGATTCTAAGACCCTGGGACCCTTTACGTTACTGATTATACAGGGTGTCCCGAAACTACCGGATGTTATTTTAATGGCAGATTCTTTAGAACATTTTAAACGAAAACTTTCATACAAAAATGTCGAGGCTATAATAGTTTTCAAACGGGAATATTTCACCAATAACAGGGCTGAGATTTCGCGCGCTCAGACACGTCGATAAAGTTGCTCCTATGAATGTCACTTTTTTACGATATTATGATTATTGTATAAATTTACAATAACATTGTCATAATATGTTTTGCCGCTTCTCTACGCATTGCATTACTATATTTTTTATATGAATAATAGTTGTAAGACATCTTAAATATTCAAGTAAAAAAGACATATTTCAACTTAATCTGTCAAAGTGTCGATCAATTATTACCATGAAGATGTCCACTATTCTATACTGCGTGTGGCATCTTTATCACTTGTCATTTCGGCGTGCCTGAGCGCGCGAAATCTCAGCCCTGTTATTGGTGAAATATAATCGCTTCCCGTTTGAAAACTATTATAGCCTCGACATTTTTGTATGAAAGTTTTCGTTTTAAAATATTCTAAAGAATCTGCCATTAAAATAACATCCGGTAGTTTTGGGACACCCTGTATAGCAGAATACTTCGCGCACTAATAATAACATTCAGACTCTTACTGATCATTATTCATTGTTTTTGAATATTTTAATTAAATGTCTCGGGGAGAGAGAAACCTGAAAGAGAACTTTTTTAATTGATATATTTCTTTCTATAATATTCGAGTCGTTCTTTACTTTCTTCTTATTCTGTTATTCAATTGATCGGCCGAGCAAACGTAGCCGGTATTATTTATCGTGATTTTATATAACCTTAGATTTAGCACTCGTAAAGATCACGGAAAATTACGGCGAGGCCGCTAGTATCCGCCTTTTCCCAATCGGACAAATATGCACGGGAGTTTTAATTAATCATATAGCGATATTCGCACCTGTTCCATCACTTTCGCTTGCCGCCCGCGACGACTTGAAACTTTCAGTCGTAGCACGTCGTTGAAAGTTCATCCGCCGTTTCGTCCGACAATTATTTACGGTTAGCACGAGGACGAAAAGTGCGTGCCGGAGTGCGGAGGCGAGAATCGGAGAAAGTCGTCGCGGAGGAAATCGCTCTAAAACAAACGCGACCGTATATACTACGGTATACTACCGTTCATGCCACGGCCGAGCCTCTCTTGTCACGCGACACGCCGCAAAAATGACGGAGCACGTGCGCTACTTGTGCAAAAATACGCTGCCGTCTAATGACCGGTAATCACGTTGTACGTCGTGGTGTCAGTCAACTTCTTTAACGTGCGTATCATACGCGTACGCAAACGAACCGGCGTGGAGGACGTGACCATCGAGATGCTACAAAAAATCGATAGCCTTACGACAGTTCGCGTGACCGTTAATGTTTGGACAGTTAACCCATAATCTAGTGTCAGCTTTAGGTAAAAAATGCCCAAGGGGACTTCCAGTTTAACTGCCGTGATGTGAAGACGTGTTCGAGCTTGTTCGAACGTGATCTATTATTTTTTGTTAATACTTGGAATTATTTCAGAGGGACATTTGGGAATAGAGATTTGAAAAGATTGGAAAAAGAGTAGGAGAGAGATTGAACAGAAAGATAGACATGAAGGAAAAGTAAGGATAGTGTCAAATAGGAGTGTATG